AAAAAATAAGAACAAGGAAACATTTAGTAATGCCTCTGGAAATTCTTGTTCTATAAACGTCCCGAATCCACTAGGACTGGGCTATTTATTCTGAGCTTAATCTCAGTGGCGATTATAGCTTTCGGTGATTATGAGGACAAAATAGTCTGGGTAAAAAGATGACTCTTTTTGTGATATACTAAATCAGCAGTCAAAATGCACAGCAACATTAAAGAAGAAAAATGGGCAGTTTTAGATGTAGGTATTGATATAGGGTGAAAGGTGGGTTACATCATGGACAGGTCAACAGTCCATCAAACTGCTAATAGACCGTCAGCCAGTTTAGACTCACCTGTTTAAGCAGTAGTTGGACAGGAAAGCCAAACAGAGCAGCCAGGCTCCTCAGAAAAGGTGTTTGAGCCCAGCAGCTCCTTGCTGTGTGCCACAAACTCAAATCACTGCAAAACCATCTCCCCTAAGACTTAATGGGGTCTGAGGACTTGTCCTCAATTGGGTGACGGACCAGTGACCTTATCAAACGGATCTTTACCCAAGTTGTGCTCAAGGTCAAGGTTACATTTGCAGTTTTTACAGGCAGTAACTTGTGGTGAAATGTGAGCTAGATCTCATTAATGCTCTGGTAAATAATCCCATGCTATACACCAACATAGTTTGGTGCAATGTGCACAATGCAGAAAAACATTCATAAGAGATTCACACATTACACATATAATACCATCAAAATATGAAAACTGCATTAAAGTCTGGGTGATAAAGGACTATAATGATGCAGCTGGCTACTTTTGCATGCACTGACATTCCAGCTGGAGTTTGTTTCATATTATGGCAAACAAAAAAGAAAAACAATTTTTTCAAGTAATGAACATAAGTGGAGCGGGATAAACTGAACAGGTCAAGGTTAAAAGGTACTACAAGAATATAGGATACTTTGGCTAACTTAAAACATTTCCACTCAGGCTCACTGGGGGTGGGGCAATTTGTTAAAGATAGAAATTGTTGAACAATAATAAAAGCAACAAATATCAAGTTAAAATGAAAAATAAATACAATGGAAATTAAAAACAATACAAAAAGAAAAACGGACATTAACACTCTGGGGTCTTCAAACTCAATAAAAGCGGTAAGCCAAATGACAAAAATATATTTTAAGGAGGGATTTAAGTCCAAAGTCGTTGGGCCCGTACTGCAAAGACTCACCTTTAGTGACTAAACAAGCCTTCAGAATCACTAGCCAGAAAACGCCACTTGTCAAAGACTCTATAAAGTTTATGAGAACTGTGTGTAATTAAAGCTCAATATAGTCTCCTCTTGACAGCTGGAGGTCTCTAATGAGCACACATGTTAAATGGAAGAAAATCCAGCTACATAAAAGAAATAAAATCAAATGTTTCATATTTAGTGGTGGATCAGGAGGTTATGTCCTGAGAGCTGGTAGGCATTTCAGTACATCAGGTTTTACCAGTGGGAGCATGAGGATGAGGATCCGTGCTAAACGCTGTAGTTCTGCTTGGATCGATACAGCTCTGTGCATTATCCTACTGGTGCCAGCTGACGTACACACACAGGTGCTTTCAATAAATTTTCTCAGAAAAGAGCTCTATCTGTATGAAAGTTCTGCAAACTGGTCACACATCACGAGCTGATAAGAATATTATTGTGAACAGGAAGTGCAGCCAAACTGACAGGAGCATCGGACGCCTCTTGCAAGGTTTTGCAATTCAAAGTGATTGAGATCTTAGATTGGCTTTTTGGCAGCACTGGGCAGGCTCCCCTCTTTTACACATCTAAGCTACTGTAACTAACCAGCATGATTGTTTCGTGTTTTGTTCTTCCCCCATTTGGGATACATCTTCATCACTGTGAAACAAAATACTGGACTCTAAGTGAAACTTACCACAAAGCCTCATATCTAAAGTCATAAGGTCTCAGATGTGTTGCAAACTTCTTTTTTTTTTTTTTTAATAAGCATCCTGTCTTATCTCTCTTGACGCGATAAGGGGATCATTTCATGACTCCCTGAGGTTACAAGTCATTCTTTAACTTGGGTAATTGCGAAGGGTTTTTACTGTTGTCCATCACTTCAGTATGACATTACAATAATGTAATAATGCTAATTATATCTGATCCTTTACTAGCACAAATTACCTGAATTTGTTTATTTATTTATTTGTTTATTTATTTTTATCTGAGTCTGATTGGTTTAAATGGAAATGCAAGTTTCTGAGTCGTAAAACTCTGATTCTAGGGGGCGTTTTAGGAATTGCTTCAGGACATGCTGGGACTGCCTGCCCTGTTATTACCTGGAAGGTTATTGTTGAGGGTAAATTGATGGCAATAACGACAGCATGTTGATGATGAAGGAGGAATTGTGAGGATGATTGTGATTATTCCAATCCTTCTCTTGACTTTAAACAAGAGCTTCCCTGTTAGGTTGAATATTTGGGTCCCTTGCTGCCTGTTGTTAATCATTACAGTTTCTGAGAATTCATACTGTGTCTGCAGGCAGACTTTCTGTGTTTGTGTTCATTTGAAGTTCAGCAAATGATAGACGCTGCTTTCTAATCCCCCCGTGGAGTCTCGTGACATGGACCCATGCCAAAGTCCAATTACACAGTGCTCAGGAGGCACTTGCACACGCATTAGAGCCCCATTTTAGTGAGTGATCAGAAAGCCAGTATAGTACGTGAGAGCCTGAGATGCACACAAACACCTGCTGTTGCTTTCAATCTCAAATGCGATCGTTTCATTGCAAGTAGTCTGAAACGACACTCTTTCTGTTTTACAGTCGTCTGGTTTCAACAGTCTCCAGTCAAGCTACACGGCCCAAACAGAGGTGAGTCCTGTGTCTGAGTGCCCTCTGTATGAATTGGAGGAGATTCTTGAAACCTCACACAGACGGTTATGAGGGTGTCTTCAGTCAAGCTTACATACAGAGCCGCTCTGCTCAGACGGCAACAGCAGTTCATGAGTTCTGTTCACTGTGTCTGAAAGAGAGAGACAGATGGAAAAATGAGACTGTGAAAAAAGCAATACTTCCCTTTTGAGAAGGTCAGACAAGTAGCAAACACTTGGTGTTTGTGTGTGCGCACAGACTAGAGTGTCAAGTGAACAAAGTCTGTGGTTGGTATTCGTGGTGTGTGTGTTTTCCAGTCCAACAAGTTGCCACTGACTAGGGATGACACAAAATTGCCCAAAAAATACACATTTTTTGGGCAATTTCGAGTTGGCTCTGCCAATCAGTAATCTACGTGGTATGCACCCTCAAAACTGTATCGCAACAAATTGGCGCTTTTGAGAGTACGTTTGCTGATAGTAACGCCATGTTGTTCAGCTAATAACAGAAGAATTTCATCATTTGTGAAGCCACGCTGAAAATAATCAGCAATTTGTGCATTCACATTCACGTAGATGACTGATTGGCAGCGCTATCTCGGAATTTTGAGTCATTAACTAAAAATTTTGAGAAAAGTCCAAATTTCGAGCTGGTTTTCTCAAAATGTCTAGTTAATAACTTGAAATTTTGAGTTATTTTCTTGAATTTTTTTTCTTCTTCTTCTTTTTTTTGTGTGTGTGGCGGAAACGGGCTTCCATATCCATCAGCAACTTAAAAAAAATTAAATTAAAGCCATCATGGTAGTGTCAAAAATTCCAGTCCCTCTAATGGCCACAGGTTCCAAAAGTGAGTAAGACCCCATATTAAATAAAAGTATTTTTCTCTAGAATATTACCCTGTGCAACACTCATCTGAAGGCTTAAATTTAGGGATGTGCCTGTTTTGATTGACAGCTACTGTGACAAAGGGGCTGTAACCTTCGTTACTTGCGAGGCCTCACCTTTATTAATTCGACGCACTGAACTGGACCTGTGAGCAATGTTTGTTTGTTTCGGTGGCATTTCAAATATTTTCTCTGTAATTATCTGACAAAGGATGTTGGTGTCTGTGACTTGCAGTCCGTCTGAGTCTTTCGGTATCAATCCAATACCAAAAGTAAATACAGGAACAGTAGTGCCTAAAGACTTGTAGGTTACAGTTAAAGTTTATTATAATCAGACATTCTTCATAAATCAGGTTTCAGGTAAAAAAATATATATATATTTCGTTTAAAATCGAATAATTTACATATTGTTATTGTCATAGTGTTATTATTTTAATGTCTGAATATAGTCTGTAGTAATCAGTCTAAACTAACATTAACTAATGCTGAAGATCTTATGTACCTGGTTACTCATTGGCTCTCTGAAAGAAGTGCAGCGGTGAGCTGTGTCTGTGCTGGGGTCTGGGTCTGTCTGATTAATTTCCTTCCTCCTCGCTTCGTTTCTTTTTCTGTTTGTTCTGGGATGAAGGGTTTTTCTTTTTTGTGGTCTTTCATGTCTTTATTTAAGTTGGTGTTATTGCCACAGTAGAGAGTCTCCTTCCAACCTGTGTCAGTGTTAGCAGTGTTTTCATTTACAGCTGTAAAGTAACTCTACACATGGTCGTCTTTCTCACCTGCTACATGTTAGTTGGGGAGGAGGGGGCGGAGCATCGTTTGCACAGACATGTCTGCTTTCTGATGAACCTGAGCAATGCATCTGTGTATCTTTGCTTCTCATGCTGTTTTGTTTTATTTTATTTTTATTTTGTTTTTATTTCTAGTCTTTGATGTTTTTTAGCCCCTGTCACTTTTGTGGTAAACTCCCCTGCCACTCCCTTCCTTGTTTAAGCTTACTTTCAGCTAATCAGCATTCGACCTATGCACAGCTTAAATGTCGTACTACATGCTGCGGAGTTGTTGGAAGAATGCACGCTAGTACGTTTGCATTGGCTGCAAATACACAAAAACGATGCCATAAAACACACATTAACCTATTAGCAATAAGTACCACACATGCAGGTCTGCATTTCAGCTGTACAGTCTCCACTCACATGTACAAATATGGTCACCTCTGGGTCCAAAACATGGTGTCAGCTGACAGTGAAACATCATCTGCCTCAACAGAGAGGCATGAAATCACAGTGGCTACACTTGTCCTTTTTATGTACAGTCTATGGTAACTATGCCAGTAGCCACCAATCATACAATAAAAACAAGATGCAGTAATAACTAATTATCTAGTGTAGCTACAACTGCTGTACAAAGTTAAGTCAACGGACATAATCTTTCTTTGAATAGTTTCTCCAGCTCTTAGCACTTGTATTTTAAT